CTTTCCCTCCCTTCTTACAAATCAAGTTACTATATATAAATCATAACCATGTGTATAAAGAACTTTTTCTTCTAATATGCAATAAAAATGTGATCGGAGAAAGAAGAGACTATACAAATTTTTTTTAGAATAACATTTTGTTGCAAAAGTTGACATACCTTCACTTTAGAGTTTTCTATCAAATGCTGAGCCATTGATTTTATCAGAACTTCAAAGAAAAACCATGAATACTGCAGAGAAAAGAAAGCATTCTGTAAAATCAGCACATGCAATCAGCTACTATTTCAATACAGTTATTCTTCAGTTATGACCAGGTAAGAACACAAAGTAAAAAGTATGGTTCAATATATACCTTAAGTAGCTTGTTGCTTGTAAGAAAGTCAGCAGATGGCTTTAAAATTGTTGTCATGGACTTTGTCAGTTCTTCATGTACTGTCTTATATTCCGAAGCAACATAGGGTTCAGCTTTATAACCATACTAAGGGAGGAAAACCAGAATTGATATTAAAGAGATGCAACTAAATTTACTCTTTTCAGAGAAACAGAAAAAAGAAACATTTAAATTACTTTTACCTACCTTGACATAAGATCTCAAGTAGCTATCCAAGCCTTCTTCATGACACTGAGCAACAATATGGATAATTACCCTAAACAGAAGTCAGAAACCAAATAAGCCTACAAAGCAAGCTATGATAGCAATAGCAAAAATGCTACTCAGTTACAGATTTATGTGATAACCCAGTCATGACTTACACTTGACAAAGCACTAAAAATTCTTTACCTTGTCACATTGACTGCAACTTCCTCTTGATTTGTCCTAGTGAGAACTCGAAACAACTGGTTTAGAACAGTTGGCAGGAAAGCTATCATCACATGGCCTTCCATAGCATGAAGACTCTAAAAGAAAGCAGTAATACTGTCACTCACCTAAAACAATGGCATTTAAATCACAAGTTCTGAAATGATAAAATTTATGACAGATCTTTTTCCAAAAATACACACTGCTCGCACTGCTACCTGAAGAAATACTGCACAGGAAGCAACTGAGAAGTTTCCAATATAAGTATTTGGTAAGGATTTATTACATTCAGGTAAATTAGGGATAAAAATTAGGTTTTATTAAAAGCATTTTAGAAGTAGTTATTTGTACTTTGCCATTGAAACGCATTCTAGGTAATGCGTACACCACAGCAACCAGACACTGACACTCTGATATAGTTTGCTATTTCCTCCACCAATGCAGACGTTCAGTGAACAGAAGTCCCACAAAAACAATCAGGTTGATTACGTGTGATAAGTGCAATACTAGTTACCGCAAAACAACAAACTAGTATGTTGAAAATCAGAATGAACTAAAATCCCTAACTACCTAATGCTGGAAATTGGAGACAGCGTATTACTAACTACTCAACTTCTTCATGAAATGCCTTTGCACTCCACCACACGCAAAAGATTTTATAGACGTAACAACCTTAACATAAAAGGCAGCGTATGGCATTTCATCCTACATTGGTTTACGCCGCAAAATCCCCTGGAGTTAAAGGAAATTGGACAAAAAAAATGTCTATTTACTGAACACGCAGACAGACAACAAATTTCAAACATTTCTGTTTAGTGTCAGGTAGCAGTCTGGTGTTTAAATGTTTACCTGTAAGCACATTCACACTATTCAGGTCTCTAAACAGTCTTCCTTCCTACATGATCTGTGATTTTTCTTGGGAACGCCAGTCATAAGCTACAACATCTTTTCTATAAGCCTTGAATATCAGAGCATTGGGTAAACATGCAAATGGAACTTCAGCTCACACTTTTTTCCAGGATGCTAACATTTTTTGGTAAAGGTGTGGTCTGAAGTAGGACTCTGAAGTGGACTCATAACCAAATTCTGATGCCTTTGAGTATTCAATTACACTCAGACTGCCAGAAGTAGCTGTGCCCTTTGATCTCTCAGGCAGCAGTAGAAGTAACTACAAGCAGATCCCTCAACTTATGAGATGTTAAGTGATGTTTGGACTCATGAAACATGAAGGAGAGCATAATCAGGTGAGTCCCAGAAAACCTGTAATCAGAAGTGTCAGATGGCACTTACACAAAATCCTGTTAGGGAGGACAAGAGCAGAAAGAAGAGAGAATGGGAGAACGCTTGTCAGGTTCAGCAACTCGAGTTACTCTGCCATTAGCACACTGACTTCATGAATAAAATTAAATCCTAAGTATTTAAATATGTTATTATAGTATAAACATTGCCTGCAGGAAACTGTCATCACTGAACTGAAACATTGATCTTTAAGGAGCATTTAGCACTCAGGCTGGCCAAGTCTGGCACAGGTAGGTACAAGCTGACACACAGAAGGCTATCTCTCAATACACAGGAGCAGCAAAAAGTATTTGGGTCTCTATGAGACCAAGCTAGACAGGAATTTGGCCCAATGCAACTGAAAATTGTCATAAGTTGTAGTGGACACAGAAGAAAGCATTAGTTTTCTGTTACCATGAAGCGAGGCAATAAAGAAAACATGATGTGTTAATCTAGTACAAACAGTAGATGGGTGAAGAGGTTCCCTTCTTCAAACTGCAATCTCAGAAGACAGCAGGACCACAATATCCTGGAAGGATTACTTGGAAAAAGACAGAATAATTTCCTTGACCTCAAGGCAAAGTGAAACACTCTGAAGCAGTGGGTGGTTCTGCATTTCTGTCTCTATTGGAGAGATTTCTCAGGGCAAAACCCACATATACACAGTTAGAAAGACTATATTTTGAAAAGTGTCATGATGACAGGATTTGCAAGTGTGGTATCAGGAAGGGATTCTGCACATAAGCTGCTTCTAGCTCCAGCAGAATCTCAATACTGCAGAGTGCTGACTTCTAAAGCCAAACACTACTAGGCTTAGTGCTAGTGTCACCTAACTGGGGACTATTTGGTACAATTACTACTGCAGAAAGGAGTGGAAATCAGGATGGCTCCAGATCTAAAAAAAAAAAAAAAAAAATAATCGAAGAACTTGAACAGAACAGATACTTCACGTGAGAAAAGCAGAGAAATGACATCTCAAGCAAGAATGTTAGTAGCAGAAACCCCTAGTGACACATTCTAAGTATCCATGGGGGATGATGAAGTTTAGCTACAAGATTATTTGTTCTTTGTCTTACCCCTTTGATGTGAGTCTACAATAGCCAGAATCCCTTCTAAGGGGATGCATGATTGTCATATGCTTTGCCAGCACGTTTTAGGATTGCAAAATTTCAGAATGGTAAGGACAAATAGAAGATGGAGAAACAGGTCTGTCAGTAAAAAATGGTAATAATAAAAAATCCCTATTTCCAAATAGACTTTTTCCATTAACGTAATATGTCCTGTTTGTACAGAAGTCTTGGGGCAAGGAAGATGGCTCAGAGCCACGGTTCTGACATAACCCAGGTCCCAAAGCAAGTCCAGTTTAGAAGTGTGCCACATTTAATAGTTAAGTTCTAACTTAAATGTCCTGAGTAGACAGTCCAGTTTTATTAACTGATGGTGTTCAATTACAAAAATAAACTCTGTTGTGCCTAAGAAAAATAAAGAGTTACTTGTGATACCTTACATAGATTTTAAGATGACTGCAATTTGGGCTTCACATTAAAAATACGGCCTACAGTTAAGACAAAACTGCTGTGGAAACCATGCACTCTACTGAAACGTTTTAGAAAACCAGGAGTCATCATTCCCTGCTATTTCCCTGTGCAGTTCAATTTGAATATTTTGACAAATTAAGCCATTAGGGTTTCAAAATTATCACTCTTAAGGCTGACCAATACTGTCTCATTATTTACAAGCTCAGGAGTGTTGCATGCTGACTAGAAGGAAGTGCGGCAGGAGGGCCAGGAGACCTCCATGGATGGCTAAAGAGCTGCTGAGGAAAGTTAGAGGGGAAAAAAGAAGTTTATAACAAGAAGTGAGGAGAGGCAGCCTGGGAAGAATAC